TCTTCAGGTAGCTGATACATATCTTGGCCCTTTTATCTTAAGTTTTCAAGATATGTAACTTCATTTAAGTAGAAAAGAAAATTGTCATTTTAAAATTAAAGTAGTTCTACTTTACACCTGCCTGACTAGAAATGTGGAAAAATGAATCGTAATCATTTATCCTTCCTGATGTTGTATCTAAATCTTATAGACCCTGGAGATTATAAAATTATGAGTAAGGCACTTGGGTACATTTTGTCCTTGTTGGTACTGCTGACATGACCCTGTTCCCAGTGAGATTATTGGTCACTGATTGGCAAAAGCCCCTCCAGCATCCTTTCTTTCTCTACTTCCTGTCTTGTCTTCCTCTGGACTTTGCCTTTGTTACTGTTGTACGCATGGAAAATGCTCCTTAGGCAGCATTTTGACATGGTTGTAGACCAGGCATTTCTTTTCTTTATAAATTTTTTTTTAATATGTACATGTGTGAGCCTGCATGAATATATGTGTGCCACATGTGTGCAGGAGCCCATGGAGGACAGAAGAGGGCATCAGATCCCCTGGAACTGAAGTTACAAATGTTTGTGAGCTGCCATGTGGGTGTTGGGAACTGAACCCAGGTCCTCTGCTAGAACAGTAAGCACTTGTCACTGCTGACCCATCTCTCCAGCCCCCAGATCAGGGATTTCTTGATGCTTTCCTGAACTTTGAGAGTGAGTGATGCCGTTTTTAACAGAGTGATTGGGATTCTGTCATTGTCTAGCTCTCCTTGGGGACCAGCTACTCTCCACAGTCTGTCTTTGCTACTTTTGCTCCATGTCAGTGTAGAACTGGATTAGGATTCCTAATGACTGGTTGGAAAGTGTGCAGACTCTCTCTTATCAGACCTTCTCTTGTTGTATTTTTCTTCTTCTGGAGTCAAAGTTGGCAGTTATTTTTCTTTATTTTTCATCTGGCATGTCATTTCCCCTACTGTGACAGGAAATGTATAATATTTTTCCTATGTAGATTGAATAAAGTTTTAAAATGTAGGGGAGAAAGAATAGTATTCATTGAATGTTGAAAACTCTTTCTCCTATATGTATTTTCATATTTTTCATCTTCTGATGATGCCAAAGCATCCGCAGTTAGACCACTAATGAGCAAAAAGGGTTTCTTACAGTCTCCATGTAGGCGTTTGGGATTCAAATTTATGGTTTTCTTTTCTTTTTGCTTTTCTTTCTCCTGGCAGTTTAAAGGAGACTTATTTATTGTCACTATTTCACAGGTACAAAAGAATTCATTTCTTAGATGTATATTTGGAATATTTACTACTTCCTTTGAAAAGCAGGTGATGACAGAGACTCCTCCCTCACCCCCACTTCTTCCTCTCTTTTCACTGTGGGAAATTCCAAGCATACTCATAACCAGATAACAATAGTGTAATAAACCTCCATGAACCTACCAGCCTGCTTCAACATCACCTCCTGACCGGTTTTGTTTCATCAATAACCCCACTCCATCCTCGCCCTACCTTCATCCCTGCCACCAATGTCCACTCTTTCATGATGAGATAATAAATGTCAAGCCATTCTATTGTCATCACTTATCTAGAATACAAAACTTCAGCCATCCACTTAATATTTTTTGAGTGTTTATTGTGAAAGTTACTACTTTTGGCCTAGAACATATAGGATGCCACATAATCTCTTTGAAAAATCCACATAATCTACTTTTTTTCTTACAGAAAGACAGTCTTACCTACATAAAGCTATTTAGTGTCTATCATATCACTGTAGTTTTAGAACCAGAATTGCTATACTTAATTTACTTTATTTTCCTTGGTGATGCTTTTTCCTCAGATCCTGGATGACTTGTTCTTACACTTCATTAAAATCTTTTCCACTCTTGTATGGTCTGCATAGCAAGTTCCAGGCCACCCAGGGCTATATAGTGAGACCCTGTTGCAACAAACAACCTGACAAATCTGCCCTACTCTCACCAGCTATACACACCATGTACTATAATCTAGTTATTTGTCTATAGTCAACCTTTTGTTGCTTTGTTTTGTGTTGTATTTTAATGTTTTTTGAAGTAGTATTTTACTATGTAGCCCAAGCTGGCATTGAATATGAGATCCTCCTGCCTCTGCCTTCCATGTGCTGAAACTGCAGGCATATGCTACCACATCTGACAACCATGTTCAACTTTTTTGAGTAGTTATTTAAGGAAGTGGGGTGGGCAATTGAAGTTCCTCTTGTTCTGTCTACATTAAGAATTTAACATCAAAAAAAGGTGCCAAATGACTTGAAAATATCAACTGACTTATCAACTTTGCAGTATCTATCAGAATTATCTTCAAAAGAACCTTTACCTAATAATTAATAATTATTATGATATTCCTTTCTTTATGATACTATATGCTATCACAAAAATTTAGTTGTATGACTTTGTGGCCATTTGTGTTTTGTGCTAAATACCAGCATGTTAGAGAACCATGATTTTGAAGAACTAGCAGCTAACACATTGGACTATTGCAGTGTGTGGTCTGTTTTATATATCTGTTCAATAATCAGCGGAGTTAGGTCCCATTTCTCTTACCATAGCAAGTTCAGATAACCTTTCTGTGAGTATGTCTTGTAAAATCTTGCCCTAGGTTAAACTTCTTGACTTCATTATATCTATTTTACTAAGATTTAGTTCTTCTAAATACCTTGTCTTGACAGGAGTCAAGGAAGATGGGGGTCCCCACTACTGTTCATAGAAGTGTGCTTTGTTTCTGGGACTCTTTATTAAGAATATTTAAAATGGTCACATCTTCTTGTTTCATTTTTAGTAGTCTAGCCTAAGGAAATTTGGGTGCAGATATAAACATCTGTGATGGTGGAAATGATGAGATTGTTTTTTGTTTCTTACTCTTTTCTATTAATCCATGTTTGTTTACTCCTTGTCTCCTATCCCCTCTGCCCCCCCCAACCCCGTTCCCCAGTTATTCATTGTTTTGATTTCTCTGACCATTAAAATGGTACATTAGAAAAAGTGGGGATAGAGACTGTACATTCTTCTCACTTCTACTGTAAACCCAAAACTGCTTTTTAAAAAATTGAAGTCTATTTAGAAAGGAACAAAGGAAATAGATACGTAGACACAATGAATGATTTATACCTTCCAAAGAAAAAGCTGAGGTTTTGGTGACATAATATTTGGCTCATTGTATGAATTTAATAAATGTTTAAAGCATTTTATGTTTTAGGCTAGAGAGGTAGCTCAATTGGTTGAATGCTTGCCTAGCATGCAGGGAACCCTAAGTTCGATCCTGAGCACTGCATGAGCCAGGTGTAGGGGCCCATGCCTGAGTGGAAGAAGGATCAGAAGTTCAAAGATACCTTGAACTGCATAGTGAGTTTGAGGCCAGATCCCATTTCAACCAACCAACCAAACACAAATAAATTAACAAAACATTTTGTTACTTTTACTAAGTAAAAGTTCTCTTTTTATGAGAAAGTAGACTACAATTTTTTAATTTTTATTTATTTATTTATTTAAAATGTATATTGCCTGCATGCATGTGAGTGTATACCCATGTTGTGCAATGCCTGTGGAGGTCAGAAGAGGGCTTTGGATTTCCCTGGAACTGGAGTTATGGACAGTTGTTAGCCATCATGTGGGTGCTGGGAATCGAACCTGGATCCTCTGCAAGAGCAGCCAGTGCTCTTAACCGCTGAGCCATCTCCAGCCCCAGACTGTAGTTTTGACTATATCATACTACTGAAGAATTAAGGAAATTATTGAAATATGACAATATTTCCTTGATCAATGAAAATTTTCAGCAATTGAAAGGGTTTCTCATCAAATATGCATCTGTATGCCTTCAATGTAGATGAAAGCATTGAATGGGTTCTTTGAAACAATCTTCATGTACTCTCCCAGTGAGATTTGTCACAGCTCCTCAGAGTCCTTGGAGTGTTAAGATATGTTGGGGAACCCTGCTGTTAAGGTTGGCTCCTTTCTCTGCAGGGGCTTCCTGCCTGACTTACCTGGAAAGTGCGGCCAAGCAAGGATGCTTGGCCTCATTTAAAACATGACCTTTGGCATAGTTACCTGGAGTAAAAACTACCCCCAGGTTTTTTCTATATGATAATTAGGCATTGCCCGTTAGTTGGATGATAGGCGCCTACTGCCACATGTAAATAAAGCATACTATGAGCACCTATCAGCTGAAGCATTGGCTACTGCCTCCACACTATATTTTCCCTAACCCCCACTGAATAAACGGAGCTGTTTCATTGAATCTGGAGCTGTTTCACTGAGTCTGTTTGTATCACGGAAGCTGCCTCCCCGGGAGGGCTTTCTTCCATCAGTGCTCACTGGCCATCCTGACCCCGTTTGTCGCTTCTGCTCCCTGTGCCCTCGTGGACCCGTGGCCAACGACCCACGAGGGAAAGGAGAGACCCCCACAGTGATAGACATAGTTATTTCTTTCCTATGGTCTCATAGCTAAATTGCTGACTTTTTTTTTAAAGTTTTCCAGATGAAGTCTCTCTGTTACCCAGACTGACCTTGAACTTATCATCCTTCTCCCTCAGCCTTCTGTATAGCTGGGTGTGGCATTTGCCAACATACATACCTAACTTAAGTTAACTGTTAATTGGAGATCTTTCTTATTTATAAGAATTCCAGGGCTGGAGAGATGGCTCAGCGGTTAAGAACAGTGGCTGTTCTTGCAGAAGACCTGGGTTTGAATCCTAGTACCCACATGGCAGCTAACAACTGTCCGTAACTCCAGTTCCAGGGATCCAATAGCCTCTTCTGTCCTCTGCCAGTGTTGCATGACTCAGGTGCACTTACCTACATGCAGGCAATACATGCATACACATAAAATAAAAATTAAAAATTAAAAAAGAATTCCAGTCTTGTTCATTAATTATATGATTTTTATCTGTGCTTTAAATGTCCTATCATCATATAAATGACTGTAATATCCGAACCGATTGTATTCATGTCTGTTTTAAGGAGGTTTAAATCATTTTCTTTCTCTATAGTGGTCCCCCCTGGAAGTCCTGGTCCCATTACTCGACATGGGTCCTATGACAGTTTAGCCTCCGACCATAGTGGACAGGAAGATGAAGAATGGCTTTCCCAGGTAAAATGTTGGTATATTGGGAATATTGAAATAAGGGAGAACAAAAATCTGTGTTTATTCTTTTCCTTAAGGGAAAATGGAGAAAATTGGTAACTTCTTTTGTTGAGTCACCAAGAATTTTAGTATTTCCATATTAAGAATTTCTCAGAAATATTGTTCCATATATGCACACATATATTTTACATGTACTTTTTACATATATTTCATCACATTTATCTATGCACATATGAATAAATAATATTTACTTCAATGCAAAGGTATAAAATGTGCTTGTGTTTGAAACAACTTCTATAAATCCTTGGAGCCCTGAATTTCAGACACAGAGACTTTGGAACACATTTTCTTCAGGTTTTAAATGAGAATTCACCTTCTTTAAGCAGTAAAACCATTCAGCAATCCTCATTTGTGCCGGGATGGACTGGTGCTTTCATCGTGGAAGTTTTGTGCACAGCATTGTTTTGTGTGCAATTCCAACTGGATTTCCTTTCCTGGTTAAGCCCAGCCAGTGCTGTGCCTCCTAGGCTTTAAACCATTCCCATAACAGCTTCAGATAACCATTCCTCACCTCACCAGGTGACTCTATCTTCATCTGAAGAGCTTTGAAATCAAAGAGAGGTGCGTAGCTTTCACAATGAAGTGATCACAAATGACTTCATTACAAATGCTGTTATGTCTGCCTCCTGTCTGACATCATTTGGTGAAGTTAATGACTTGTCTCAGATTACAGATCTGGCAGCTTTTATCTGAGGTGCCTCAGAGAAGTGGAACCCTTTGTGGCTTCCTCATGTTCTCAGGAAGGATAGCCTGGATAGCCAAAGTGAACTTAGAAATTGGAGGATTGGGGGCTGGAGAGATGGTTCAGTGGTTAAGAGCACTGGCTGCTCTTCCAGAAGACCTGGGTTCAATTCCTAGCACCCACATAGTGGCTAGCAGTGGTCTATAACTCCAGTTCAAGGGGATCCAATGCCCTCTTCTGGCCCCTGTGGGCATTGTACAACATGGGTGCACTTTCATGCATGCACAACAATAATACACATGAAATTAAAAAAAAGAAATTGGAGAATCAAGCATTTCTACATGACGTATATTTATTCTATCACACCAGTGATGCTCACAGGATGCTCCCTGAATAGCAGTTTTAGCTCTAGACATGCTGAAGCTCTTTCTCTTTTGATGATACCAAGGTAAAGTAAACCCAGAGTACACATGCTTTTTCCAGAATCAAAACTGTTGTCCAGGAATGCTGGCAAAGGAAGCCGTCCTTCACATCTGCTTTTCAATTAGAAGGAGGGGTAATATGTGCTGTCAGTGTGAAAGTGTGTAAAATATGTTTGTCCTGCACACAACAAGAGCATGAATACAGGAACATCTGGCCATTGCCTCAGTGAAATTGCACAGGCATCTGTTTACCTCTCGGCTCTGTGACCCTGATGGTTTTGAGCTTAAAATACACACAATGCTTTATCTGTGGCCTAATTTACATTGCTGAATACAACTCCTTGAATCAGAAATCACTGTCCTCAATCTGAGTGTTTTTCTCCCCTTGATTAGTGGGAATGTGAATATTGTTAAGAATTAATCACTGCAATCAGAGAAATGTAATTAAATATAAAAGAATCAGGGCAAGGACTGAGGGCACGTGGGAAGGCAGCTCCATAAAGTGTTTGCACAGACGCCGATACAGCAGTGGCAAGGCTAGAAGAAATACAGTTGATTTTTGCATATTTAATCCATTATTCAAATGGATCATTTTCAAAGTCATTTTAAAATATGTGTATTTTCAGGTTTCCCCTTGTCATCTGTCTGCTTCTTTCTCACAGAGTTCAGTATAACACTAGCAACACCACCCATCCCTTCCATAGAGCTTGATGTTTATACAGCACTTTAAGAAAATTACTCTTTGTGTGTACAACCCTTGTGTCAATGTTTGTGACAGTTGAGAAAACATCTTAAGTAACAGTTACATGAAGTAAAAAGACTTTAGTTTGAGAGAAAACAAAATAACTTCTTTTTAAAAATAGATGTGAGGGAATTAAGAAAACAGCCTAAATATTAAAATATTGAATTATACACAGGAACTAGCTTCTGATGTGAAAATTATTTGGGCTTTGGGCTTTTTTCTTAGCTTTGAATAGCCCAAGAACAATTTCACATTTTTCATGAGCTTGAAATAATTACTTTTAATTACTTATAGGAATGATGTTGAATCTTTGGATGAATAGGTGGTATGCTCATTGTCCACATTATGGTAAACACTGTCTGGGTTGAATTTAAAAGTCAGGCAGTCCCTAGGGAACTGCTGCTCTTGTTATGTGAGGTAAGCAACTGGTTCTTTTCCTTTCATGGGGTTTTTGTGTTTTGCACGTGATATGTACATGTGTGTCAATGTATGCACATTTCTACAATTTGTTTTTAGTATCACTGAGATTCAGTCAAGGGCTGTCATGAATGTCCATTCAGGTTCATGATTTTGACTGTATTTTGCTTGTGCGTGCCCGACCACCTTCCACTTTGCTAGGGTGGAAGTCATTATGAAAAGAAGGGATGTGGGATTGCCAGTGGATCGCAGAAGGTCATAATGCATTCAAATTGTGATTCCATATCTTTTCCAGGTTGAAATCGTGACACACACTGGACCCCACAGACGCCTGTGGATGGGTCCCCAGTTCCAGTTTAAAACTATCCACCCCTCAGGCCAGACCACAGTCATATCATCTAGTTCATCTGTGTTACAGTCTCATGGACCGAGCGACACGCCACAGCCGCTCTTGGATTTTGATACAGATGATCTAGAGCTCAACAGTCTCAGGTAGGAATAGGAACCAAGAAGTCATTTGTATGACAGGGTTAAGGTGTCACTTGAAAAAAGGGTCCTGTGTACTACTTTTCTCCTCTTGGCACAATCATTGTGTTGCTGATTCCGTATGCTGTTACCTGTGATTCACTGTCATCACTTAGGGTCTGATCACACACAACAAATATTTGAGCTTCGGAATGTCTTCTCTGAACCTAGTACAACACTATAAACACTATGCTTTATTCTTACTTAAAAAAATTTTTTTTTATTATTTTTATTATATGTGTGTAAGTATTGCCTGCATGTGTGTAAATGCATCCGTGTCTTGCAATGTCTGCGGAGGTCAGAAGAGGGCATTGGATCCCCAGAACTAGAGTTACAGATGATTGTTAGCCACCATGTGGGTGCTGGGAATTGAACCTGGGTCCTCTGCAAGAGCAGCCAGTGCTCTTAACCCCTTGTTTGTACTTCTAAATGTTTCTTTTCCTGATCTTTCTGAAGTTGTCATTACTGTTCATTTATGCATCTATGATTTTCACACAATCCTGTATTGTCCTTTACGTTATAAAAAGCTGTAAAGAGGAAGCATTGATACAACTCACTTGTCATTTTTCATCTGTATTTTCCTAATATATGTATTCTTTTATAGTCTTTTTGGTCTTTTTTGAGATGGTTTCCCTGTAGCCCCAGCTTGCCTGGAACTTGCTTTGTAGACCAGGCTGGCCTTGAACTCACAGAGATCTTCCTGCCTCTGTCTCCTAAATGCTGGGATTAAAGGCATGTACCACCACACCTGGCTTTCTTTGATAGTCTTTACTCAACAGAATCATTACACAAATATAAAAACTATCCTTTTCATTTCTACATATTTTGTGATATAATTAAGATTTAAAATTTTAAGTCTAGCTGGGCGTGGTGGCGCACGCCTTTAGTCGCAGCAGAGGGAGGCAGACCAACCTGGTCTACCTAGTGAGTTCAGGTCAGCAGGGACTACAGGGAGACCCTGTCTCAAAAAGAAAAAAAAAAAAAAAAAAATCCCAAAATTTGCTAGCATTTTAATTTGTCAGAATAAAAGTTGACACATAAAGGTCCAGTAGGTACTGGGGGCCCAGTTTAACACAATATCATCTCCCTTATTGTATTCTCTCTTTAAAAAAAAAAAAAAAATCTAATGCCATTTAATCTCAACCCTCGGGAGGCGGAGGCAGAGGTAAGTCGATCTGTGAGATGGAGGCCAGCCTGGTCCACATAGTGACTTCTAGATGGGCTGAGACTAGGGTAACCTTGTCAAAAAAAAAAAAAAAAATCTAGGGTTGGGATGTGGCTTAGTGGGTAGAGATTTACCTCACATGTCTGAGGCCGTGAGTTCAATCTACAGCTCCATCAAAAACAAACAAGCAAGCAAGCAAGGAAATTGACTGAACGTGGTGGCACATAACTTTAATCCCATCATTCAAGAGGCAGAAACTTGAGCATTGTGAGTTCAAGGCCAGTCTGGGATATATAGACAGACCCTGTACTCTTCCCCCTACCCCCAAATCTGTTTTATAGTAGTTTTCTTTTTTAAAAAACAGCCATCTGGCCTTCCTATTGTATGCCCTTTAAAATAAAATTATGGGAAATTGTATTCTAATCAGATGTTGAAACTATGTCTATATCTTTTTCTTTGACAACAGCAAAAACAATATTTTTAAAACGAGACCAAAGTTGTTGCAAGATTGGATTCAGCTTTTAGATTGTTTTTCTTTATTTAAATATAGTACTCAGTTGTTGAGTGCCTGCCAGACACTCCTTTGTGTCAGAGCATGGGTAGAGGAGCTGGAATATGACCATGCCCCCTCCTACCTGATTTTCTTCTCAATGGTCTACAAAGCAGGAATGCTTCATCCCACCCCCAATCCTGTCTGTCCCCTGCACTGACTCCTCAAACTGACTGGTACTCAGGCCAGAATCTAGGTTTTCTTTTGTTTCTTAGTTTTTGTTTCCTTGTAGCCCAAGTTGGCCTGGACACACTGTGTAGTCAAGGATGACTTTGAACTCATGTCATCTTTCTGCCTCACTCAGCTTTCTGAGTACTGGATTCACAGGTGTGCACTACCACACCTGATCTGGGACTTATTCTTTATGTCTTTCCTCACCTGTCATAGCTGTTCATTAACGTATGGCATTTCTATCCCCAAATATATCTGGAAACTTGGTACTCTATTCCCTGTATGGGCATGGTAGAAACTATATATATATTTTAGACATGTTCTGGCTATGTAAGCCAGGCTGGCTTTCATCTTGTGATCCTCCTGCTTCTGCCTCCCAAATGGTTGGATTATAAGTACATCCATCTCAGTATTTTGTTCCTTTTTCCTTTCCCTTCCCTCCCCTCCCCTCCCCTTCCCTTCCCCTTTTCTTCTTTTCCTTTGCTTAATTCATTCTCTCTCTGTCTGTTTCTCTGTCTGTTTCTCTGTCTCTGTCTCTGTCTCTGTCTCTCCCCTGTAGTGCTGGGGGTTGAGTTCAGAGTCTTGTTCATGGTAGGCAAGTGCTCTACCACTTTGTTATATCCCCAGGCTTTGATGTATCTTAAAGAATGAGTCCTAAAAAGAAGGTTGTCTTTTAAGTTCTTACTTGGAGCCCTCATTTTGTTGCTCATTTTTCCTTCTGGGACTTTCTTCCCTACAATTTTTCTCTTTGATTGTTTGAATTTAATGTTGTTCCTGTTTTTAAGCATGGCCCTAAGATGGGCCATAGATGGCTGCTGCGTGTTCTGGTCTAATTTAGGTACTTAAGTTGCATTAGTCCTTAGCAATTCATGTTTACAACCCTCACACAGTTATTTTAATATTAATAGTAAAGCTTTGAAAGCAGGAGGCCTTTGTCTCTTGATATCTACTCACTTGCTCTCTTTTGTGATGCCCCAGGATGCTATGGCTTTTCTTTTTCTAGGGACAGTCGCCAGCTGCTGATGGAAGGCCCTGCCTTTTGTCATTGGAAGGCATTCCCAGTTCCTATGTATGGTGCTCTCTTACTCTGTGACCTCCTGCGGCTTTCCTGGGCCTCTTTATCTTGATACAGTCCTAAAAATTTTCTAGATTTTTTTTAATATAGCGCTACATTTCCAAAATCCTTCTGCATTTTTCTCAAGATTTTTCTTCTTTTTTGTATATGAACCATATACAGTATTTTTTTATCTGACTTTAAACTGCTTATGCTTGATTTGACTAGAATGCTGTACTGTTTGTTGAATATTAAATATTTTATACTGGACAGTAAGTTTATGTATTTGTTTTCTATTGCTTTTGCAACTTGTATTTTAAAATTCGAGCAGTCTTAGTTGAGACTTCAGATCCCAACTAGATGTGGGGGTGCACACTTGTATTCCCAGCACGATCTGAAGTTGGAGCATAGCCTGGCTTACGCAAGACCCAGGTTTTTTTTTTGTTGTTGTTTTTTGTTTGTTTTTGTCTTTTTGATGACCCAGTTTTTATGAGAAAGTCACATTTGCTTTCATTTCTCTTAAGTGTTCTTTATGGTTCTACTGCACCCAGGTAGAAACCCAGTTATTTCAGTTTCCTGACTATTTACTAAGACTTTGGTCTGGCTACCCACCTCTTCCTTCTGGCCTCCACATAGTGGCCATGTGGCAGGACATTGGCTTGACTTTTTCCCTTAAATTATGAGGTACTTACTCAACCTCGTTTTTTCTTTTTCAATCTGACTCATCCTTGATATCTGTTACACTGTCCTGTGCCCCGTGAGATACCATTAAGAGTGCTGAAGTGATAGCTACCTCCCTAAATGGAAAACAGACCAATACTGTATTGACTGCCATCCAAGAAGGATCCAAGTATGGCTTACCTAGAGCAGGGATTTAAAATCAAAGAGGTTCAGTGATGTATTTGTTAATAGACCTGAGTGAGAGTATGAATGAAGCTGAGTTATACTGAGCCTCCCTTTGCACTCAAGATCAGCGCCCCCAGAAATCAGTAGTAGTTGATTTTCATTTAATATACAATTTGTAGACATAAAATGCACTTTTGAGGGTACTGTTTAAGACAGGGGCCTTGGGGTTGGAGATATGGCTCAGTGGTTAAAAGCACTGACTGCTCTTGCAGAGGACCCAGATTCGATTTTCAGCACTTACATAGTGGCTAACAACCATCCTTAACTCCAGTTCCAGGGACCCAATGCCCTCTTCTGACCTCCGTGGTATTGTACAACACAGGTGCACTCACGTACAAACAGGCAATGCACTCATACACATAAAATAAAAATAATAAAATATTTTTAAAAAGACAGCGGGCCTCAAGGTTCCAATCCTTTTGCAAACCTGTCTCCCAGGTGCTGGGATTACAAGTGTGAAGCTCCACACCTGTCAAAATTTACCAATTACAGTGTTTTTTCATATTTTCCTAGGCTTGTGCATCCTTACCATCTAATTCCAGGATATTTGCCTCATCTCAACCAACCTATACTTATTTTGTATTTTTCATTATCTAAAAATTTAAACATAGCTTTAACACATAAATTCATGGCAATCTACACCCTATACCCAACTGGGTTATTGAGAAATCCTCTTATAATTTACATTAACAATAGGAACTTATTAGCCCGCACAAGTTGTTTAGGGCCAGCCAGATCGCTCACCAAGCCTGATGACCTGAGTTTGATCCTTGGGACACATATAGTTGAAGCAGAGAACCAACCTGTGTGAGTTGTCCTCTGACCTTCCAACGCAGGCCATAGTATGTTCCTACCCACTCACATACATACAGGTTAGCTTCTTACTCTCAAGAAAAAAAAAAAACCCACATTTTCCAGAAACCTTAAATATACTATTCTCTATTACTGACTCAGATTTATGTAGGTGCGAGGATCCCAGAGCTAATAACCACTGCTAAGATTACCATGACTGTCTTAGATATAGAAAGGGGGATGTTTGATAGTATGCTACAGCACTTACCAGGATTTTTAACTTCCAATACTAGATGAAATGTGCCATCTTACCCCCTTCCCCATTTCTTTCTTTCCTAAAATAAACATATACATTCAGACTCAATTCTAGTAATTATTCTTCGTCTGCATTTCGTACCTGGCCTTTCAAGCTCCTGGCATTTGTGGTGTATTTCTTGTCAATGTCTTATCCCCCTGAAATGCTCACGAACTCTACCTTAGCCAGCTTAGGCCCTACAGGGGGCCCTGCTGTCACAGCTCACTCATAGAGCTAAGGCCCTGCTGGTTCTAGTCCTTTGCTTAAAGGACATGTTTTATTGTTCTTCTCTGTACAAACCTGTTACAGTCACCCCTGGGTATCCACACAGGATCTGTTTCAGGATCCCCCGAGGATATCCAAATCCAAGGATGCTCAGGTATCCTTTCATTGTGGTGTAGTATTTACATATAGCCTAGGCTGGTGTGGGGGTGGGGGTGGGTGTTATACAAGATCCTTCTTTCTAGTGTAACATAATGAGAAATTCACATTTTCATTTCACCACCCATATCTACATTGCTTATAATGTCTAATACAATGTAAGTGCCATGAATTCAGATCCAGTTCCTGTTCCACCTCCATGAAATCTCTGTCTCATGTGGACACTAGTATACCACCTAATGAGAAATGGTTGTTAGGTGATTTTTGTCGTACGAACATTGTGTTGTCTGTTTGCGTACATTGTGTAGCTGTGTCACTAGGCAGTACAGTCCTACTGACTGCCGTCAGTTATGCTGTCGTTGACTGAGCTGTGATCATCTGCATCACTGTATTCTCCCATCGTCCCATTCTGTGACATCTTCTTTTGAACCTTCATTCTCTTTAGTATCAAGTCATAAATACCTTGTGTTATGTAATGTATTTGCACACACACCTGGTATTGCATATTTTGTTTCTACTTGTTCCTAAAATAATGCTGATGTACAATTAATGTGTAGTAAATACTTATTGTATGAATTACTAGAAATGCATGAATATATTGTTTTAACAAAATTTTGCCTGGGACCTAGACCTTCCAATTGTAAAGTTATTTTTATATTGACAGTATTTGTTCTCAAGCAACTGAGACTCTTAGCATTTATATGTTAATCCTTCTTAAGCTGCTTAATATTGTATGGAGTACATTTCAGTTTTGCTGAAGTCCAAATTGCTAATCTTATGGAAGTTACTTCGTGATCCTGGGTATCTTCTGCAGTGCAGCATCATTGTATGTAAAGTAACACTCATTAATGGTTGTAGGGAGTTTCTCACATACTTAAATCATGCATTCCTATCTTCCACTGAATTTAGCTCTGATGTCTTTTTTGAAATTGAAGAATCTCAGAGTTGTTCAGAAGAAACCCTTGGAAAGACCAAAGTTTTCATTGTATTTTGCTACTTTCTCATTCTATCCATTTTATCATTTTATTGTTAACTTTTCAACTCCCTTCTTTAAAAGTCTATAGAACAACACAAGCAAGTTAATGAATATAAGTAGAAATGGGCCTGGAGTATGGGTAATGTACTGCTTAGCTCTGTGTAAGAATTAGGGACTATAACTCCTTTTTGTCTGGTTTTAGAGTACATGGTTCTTTAATGAACTGAGCCATTCCAGCATTCCTGATTTAAGGTCTGTTGTAGTAAATGATGGTTTCCATGCCAGTAACATGTGTGAACTAAATTAAATTGTATTGCAGGATCCAGCCAGTTCGCTCTGACCCAGTCAGCATGCCAGGGTCATCTCGTCCAGTGTCTGATCGAAGGGGAGTGTCCACAGTGATTGATGCTGCCTCAGGTAGAAAACCTCCCAAATGTGGCATTTATGTGGCATTTCTGTGCATTTTAAATTAATTTTCTTACACAGTATAAAGGATGATATTAATTTGCTACCTTCTTTTATGTTTGGGGTTTTCTGTGTTTTAATATGTTAGTGTGCCTCTATTTGCTACTGAAAAATGCCATGCATTTAAATATTCTTAGTGTTGGTAAGTGGTGAGGTGGAGTTGGCACTTGATTAAATGTAATGAACATAGTATTGAAGCCTACAGGGTTGATGACTGTTTTGTCTTTGATCACTGAAATGTAAAGCAGCAACCTTGACAGAGAACGTAAATACAATATATGGATTCAATTTACTCAACCTGTGGAGTATCAAAGTGCCTGATCCGTGGATGCAGACAGTCCAAATGCTATAGCTTGAATAGTTTCACTACTGAAAGCATGATGCTTATAATTCATTAGCTTAACCCTGGTGTGTCTATCACAGTTAAGTTCCTGTTCTTACAGTCAGCCTAAAAATGATATCATTAGTTCCTAGAGGGAGGCCTTTGCCTTTGCAGATGATGGTTGCTGCATTTGTGGATGTTTTCCACAAAGCCTGGTAAATAGCTGAATTCTTTGTGATAATTTGTTTTCTCATCTCTAAGCTGTGATGAGGTAGTGCTGCCCACTACTGCTGCCACTGCCCAGTGTCCAAAGATCACACAGCAGGGCTGTGCTCAAAAGTCTCTCACAAGTAGATTTATTAATAATTCGGCATTAGTCAAATAGTTGAGTTAGAGTGGAGTTTAATCCATGGTACTTTCAAAATCCTTCCAGACTGTTGATTTGATTGAGGCTTAAACTGTGAAAGAAAATGGAAGCCATCATAAAAATGTCACCTGATTCCATCTTTCAACATAGTTTTAGCTTTAAAGATCATGCATTGTATGTTTCCTTAGCTTTCTGATTTTTGAGGGCGGTGTATGTGTTGGGATCACACTTTGTATATCAGTCTGTCTGTATACAGTCCTCCGCCTTAATTTTTAGTGTAGACTCTTTGTTTAGAGTACACAATCTTGTTTTTCTGCTTTAAGTTACCACATATAGTTGTTCCCTACAAACAGACACAGAAATGGTTAATGTCCTTGATTCCTTGCATAAAAAAAGATTTTGAGACAGATGCATTTTGGTAGTCTCAATCTGCCAGTGCTGGCAGAGAGTGCTAGTCTGATGTCCTCATTTATAATGGTGAGGACGTTATGTATTGTAACCTGAAGTATTTATTCAGTAGTAAAGCTAGACCTTATTAGGCTTTTCAAACATTCTTAAACTCTACATTACTTATTGATGTTTTTCTGTCAAACAATTAGGTATCTGTAATGCATGTTACCAAAACAGTTACCATATCTGGCCTATTTGATACTGAAATCTGAGGCAATAATGCCTACGTATCATGGAACACTTTTAGCTCTATGTTATTTCTTGAACAAGAAGAAAGTTCCATGGACTGTTGAATCCATTGTATTAGCTCTTTAGTAGAAAGTTTAAGTAACAAAGTAGCTCTTGATTTACTTGCATCTCAGTCAAAGATTTTATCCTAAGACTTCCTGGGATGTTGCTCTGTGGCCTTGAACCAGTGCCAACCTTTTGGGTTGGAAAAATTTTGATGGCCAAGCTCTATCATTATTTATTCTAGGCCTGTTTTCCCTCCAGAAAGCCATGGTTCCATTCTGAACCAGCCAGGACAGTGAAATGTGTGTTGTTTTCTCTGGCTTTGAGCTAAAGATGCTCTAGAAACCAGGAATTGAGCTTTTATGAATAATTCTTTAGCTACCTCTCAAATGGTTTGGATGCTTTTCCAATGAAGAGTCTGTGCTGTCCATCATCACATTTTTGAGCAGATAACGTTCTGTTTGCAAACCTCTGTCTACTTGATCTAATTAGATCACTGCTGTTAACAGAATCACTTTTCTACCAATGCTTAACAAAATGAGGCTAAATAAATGGTGTTCCTTGTAGAAAGTTTATGGGAAAATTCTAGTTTAGATTCTTGTATTAAAAATAATGTAATAGGGAGCTAAAGACATGGCTCAGTGGTTGAGAGCGCATGCTGCTCTTCCAGAGGACCTAGATTCACTTTCCCACACTTGTGTCAGGTGGCTCGCAGCTGCCTGTAACTCCAGCACTGTGCTCATGTGTAGAAACCTACACAGACACAGAATTTTAAAAAATAATAAAATAGAGACAAAAATATTTTTTAAGGAGTGTAACAAATTTTTAAAAATTACTCCTGAACCATGACATGCTTCTCTCACTGTGACTATGCATTTGCGTTCTGTGTATATTAGGGAGATGCTCTTTTGGGTTTGATGACCTGTTGCTTAGAAATAATCACAAGTGTGGCGTCTCCTTATCAGACTCATTGTTCTCTACCATGTTCTAGTGTTTTGTACTTCATACTTTTCTTTTGATTGTTCCTATGCACAAATTATATCTGTCCTTAAATTCTAGTGACAGTGCTTGCTCTGTCTAACTTAGTGATGATATAATCAATTTTATATAATTACTTTGCAGAGGTAAGTAAAATGTAATATGATATACATAAATCCTTTGACAGTTATAACAGTTATCAAGGTGAACATCTGTATATTTTAGTTCCTCAATGAGTCTGTTAATGCTTGATCAGTAGATGTTATTATCATCTTGACTCTGGTGATGCAAGATAAAAATACTGGCTTGTCTAAATTTGGAGATTAGATCATTGTGAGATGTTCCAGTCTCGGATAAGGGAGAGACCATTCTGCAACTGAACTCTTCATGGGATTTTTATTTATGTATGTATTTTTATTTTATGTGTATGAGTGTTTTGCCTGCATGTATGTAAGTGTACCTATGTCATGCAATGCCTGCAGAGGCCAGAAGAGGGTGTTGGGTTCCTTGGAACTGAAGTTAGGAATAGTTGTTAGCTGCCACATGTATGCTAGGTACTGAACCTGGGTCCTCTGCAAAAGCAGCCAGTGCTCTAAACCAGTGAGTTCCAGGCCAGCTGGGGCTATAGAGAGACCCTGTTTCAAAAAGATCAAAAAAAAAAAAAAAGCAAATCATGAGGCTGAGAATGTAGCTCAGTGATAGGATACATGTATACCATGTATGAGTCCGTGGGTTCTATCACATCCACCCCCCCCAAAAAAAAAAACATGTCTGATTGGATAAGCAACTGGGAGATGACTTGACAAATTTTGTTCCATCTTGCAGTTAGATCTACGTTGGAGATTCTTGGAAAAGCCTGCTTTTATCCTGTGGAGATTTTTTTCTGATGTACTGGGGAAGAGCACACCTAGGGCTTTTATATCGCTCTGCCTAAAACTGCCATCAGAGGTACTGATGGAAGATGTAAGGCTGGAAACATCATTCAGTCTCCACCATGGAGAGGCTTTGTGGGGCAGTGGTCATAAAACTAGAACTGCACATGCCTTTAGTCTCAGCACTTGGGAGGCAAAGACAGGCAGATCTTTTTGAGTTTAAGGCCAACCTGGTCTACATAGCAAGTTCCAGGCCAGCTGGGGCTTCAGGGGAAACTCTATCTCAAAAAGACCAAAAATAAATAAATAAGTAAACAAACAAATAAATAAATACATACTAGAACTGATTGGGAGAAACCATGATATTTGCATCCTGGTCTTGAACTTTTGTTAAAACCTTCAGTAAGTCACCTTTCCTACCTAGCCTTTGTTTTCTTAACTTCCAGGTGGAAAATAAGATTTCCTGGGCTAAATTTTGTTTCTCCTCCTTTGGAAAGGATGTATTCAAGTCAAGAAGACTCCCAGATAAAAAGTACATAAAGTTCTTTAGAAATAGGAAGATATTTCTTTCAGTAAATGACAAGACCTTCAGTGAATACAGTTCCAGATATTGCTTGTGATTACAATGTGATGAAAACTGTAGGTTTGTACCTTTGTATTCAAAGCAATGCGGGATCTGTAAGAGGATTAAGGATGAGAGTGAAATTAGACGAAGGCTCAGTATTGAGCCATGAACAGCCCCTCAGAGGGGGAAATGCTCAAACTTAGATATTAAGACTGGCCTTTAAAATTAGAGATGATAAAGTGTCGGCATTAAATCAACTCATCCTTTGAATACCTATTATCTGTATAAAATCAAAAGTTTTAGTATTAAGAGAATGAGTGAAGAAACACTCAGAAAACCAGTTTGACCACAAGTAAAGTCCTTGGTCATGTCTCTCATGTTCTGATTTTAATACTCTTCTTTCTAATATTTGTAGACTGATAGAAAATTAAAGTTGTGCTAACAATGAGGAAAACTTGACTGTAGCATAATTAAAAAATGGTTGTCACAACTGAAGATCTAGAAATGATAGTAGAAGTTGAGTAAACTTTTGGAAAACTGAGGAAGCATTTTGCTTTGAATCAATCTTTATGTCCCCTAAACCTTGCTGTGCTTTCTCTACTATAAGTACCAGGCCTTGGATGTGATTTTAAGTCATCCATAATAAATTTGAAAACAAATTGTTGGAACCCTCCTCCATCTCTGATTCTATATTAGTGTGTACATGTTTACCCAGAGAAAATTTGGCCCAAAACTCATTTTTTCCTTTTGCACCTTCATTACTGTACCACCAACACAAGGCTGGAATATTTATCTAGTGATTTGCTTGAGATCATGGTGGCACAGGGACAGTGCTGGGGGCAGTATTAGAAACTGTTTAAAGTCTCAACCGGCAGTTCCATTTGTCTTTGTGACATGAGTGTCAAACTGTTAGTGCCACACTATTTTAAATTGTGTTCAAGAGTCTTAGAGGCTTATGTTCATAGGTGCCATCTATAAACTTAGAAACAAACAAAGAGCCCCTCTCCATAGAACAGCAAGCCCCACAGGCAATTAAAGAGCAGGCTGAGACCTCACCCAGACAATAAGTCAGAACCAGAGCTCCTGATACTCCCCTGGTTAGTGTTAAGAACTGCCACAGAAAAAACTAAAGTAAATAATCAAAGTGGAAATACTGGTTCCACAGAG